ATTATTTTTTTTCTTTTTTTTTTTTTTTTTAAATTATTAAACTGTTCTTATCTCAACCCACGCGTTTTCTCACTTTTACTCTTCCGATTCTCTCCCCCATCCCACCGGGGCAGGAGGAGAGTGAGCAAGCGGCTGTGTGGTGCTCAGTTGCCGGCTGAGGTTAAACTACAACAAAAGCTAAATTGATTAAAATCAAACCAAATCATTTTAAGTACATAGTAAGAAGGTAGCAAGGTGCTTAATAGGTTAGGTGTACTGTTTAGAAAAGGCTTTTGGTTGCAGTTAAGGATAAGCTTATCCGGGTTGTATATGGCACAGATACAAAGACAGCAAAGTTGGCTCAATTAGGAAAAACAATAACGCACTGTACTGCTTCCATTACTGGGTCAGCTCCCAGAGTACTTCAGTTGCTTTCATATAGGGCTAGTCATGCATCCAATTCAGTCTGCAGGATTAACTTGAGTAGCTGCTTATGTCCTTCTGCACTGGATTTTGGTTGTCAGGTGTGCTGATGCAGAGTTTGTGAGGGTTTTCTAACTCTAAGTGCAGCAGTAGTGCATAGAGCAGCATGGGCCTGAGCTTCAACTAAGACATCCTGGAGCCTAAACAGTTCTGCGGGATTTAATGTGGATCTGATCAGGCAGAAGCGCAAGCTATGTTGACTCCATACAGTCATTAAATGTTTGCACTACTTTCCATCTCAGTTGTAGGAAGCAGGGGGGTTCCAGTTGTTTGAGATCCCGGGTAATTAATTTTCTTCTGTCACTTAGCTATTGTTTTGTTTCAGAGCTTATACGTACTACAAAATGGGAAATCTGGACAACAGAATAGCTAATCCAGATCAACTCCTTACACAGGATGTGGAAAAATTCTGTAACAGTGTAGTGGACCTGTACTCGAACCTTAGCAAGGTAAGTCTTTTCAGAGAGAACTTTGAGTAATAGGTGTGGACGTTTAGGATGTGATGTCAGAGCTCAAAACAATTGCTTGCATTTGTATGTGTATTGCTTGGAGTATGGTGCTAAAAAAATTGTTTATGATATTGTTTCACACTCTCTGTGGTTTCCATGACCTCTGCTAAAGCACTGTTGTGGATTGTTACAATTTGTATTAAACTTTCTTTTAAAGAACTTACCACATTCTTTTGCAGATGAGCAGTGATGAGTATGCTTTCTCAGCTAGTTAGGTTTCAGAAGAAAACCAATGGCTAGCTTTTAGTTACATACGAATATTATTTTGGGTAGGGAGGTGTGGTTGAATAAGCATTTCCCTCTGTTTCTGGTGTAAATTTTAGGGGGTTTAGGTAATGAAGTAGAATGCTATTGAAATTTTTAGAGTAATTTTTTTTTCTGATGCTATGTTGTTCATACAAGCAGAAGTATAAAGCAGAATACAAGTTGATTGTTCAAACCTTCTAGCTACAAAACCTGTAGTTCAGCTGCTCTAGCTTTGAGAGTGTGTACGGAACAGAATGCTTGCAAATTGGAATGTTGTTTCTATCAGGTACATAGCCAACTATATGGCATTATTCTGCTCAGTATTTCTCATGATTACTTCAGTTAAGAAGTAATCACGGGGTCTAGTCCAACTTTGCTTAGTAAGTAGAGTGTTATTACAGACCTAAAATAGTGAAGTACTTTTTTATATGGTATGTACTTTATCTGAAGGTCATGATGCTTTTATGTTCAGTTCTTGAGTGAATGCTTTCAGGAAAATGTCATGTGACTGAGATTCCTTTTATTTTAGCATTTAGCTTGTATAATAGGTTAACTAGTGTTGTGCTTTTAATGCAGAGCTATAACTGTTCTTGGGGTGGTTGGTGGTTTCTGGACCATTTTATATTCAAGTTATGTTGGTGTTCTAATGCTTTTTTCTATGCTTCTCTTGCAGCCCTTCTTGGATATAGTTTTGTATATCTTCAAGCTAACAAGTGCAATAGGAGCTCAGGTAAATTGAGTGGTGTTTTTAGCATTATAAGCAAACCTTCCCTTCTTTGGTTATAGCCTTGTACCTATTTGGAGTCTGAGGAAAACTAGGTGTTAATTATAGATTCACACGTTATTTGAAGGGAGGTACTGAAAATATGCTTTTATACTTAATGTTTTGTATGCTTTAATGTTCCCGATCTTGAGGCAAGCAAAATAAAACCCAGAATTTGCAGGCATTCGATCAACTATTTTCTTCTAGCAGTTACTTGGGAATCCCATTTAGTACAGTACCCTTCTGGCTGCTTTTATCTTGCGTGACTTCCGTTTAAGGGAGAGAATAAGTTTTCTGTTTCTTTGCAGCCTCTCTAAAGGGGACCCATTCCTTGCATTGAGCTGTATGACCGTTATATTCTTCTCCCCCCACCCCCCCCAAGGTGAATCATTACAGAAATAATTCTTCAGCTTAGTAAAATGATATGTTAATAAAAATGTTCAGGGTTTGACAAGAAGTAGCTCTGGGACACGTGACGTAGATTTTGTAGAAACAGACTGCAGTAAGGCTTAGGTGAACTTAGATATTTTTCCAGTCTCGGATGTCTTTGCATTGCTGTCTGTAATACTTAGTTATTATAGGCAGCTTGTGCCAAATTCAGTTTATGCCTTGGTTTTATGCCATGCCACACTTCAGTAATACCGAAGCATGCTCTTTGGGATCCCTGGTCCATTGCAGCTTAGGATCCAGAAGAATAAGAGGTCCCCACCAGGACTGCTTGAGAGAAGCAGGAAATGTGTTGGAGATGTATAGATCAAAGAAGGGAATGGGATTGAAATATTGACTGCTATGACAATGTAGCAAATAGAGAGAAAAAGAAGTAGGTAGAAATGAAGGAGAGGAAATGAGAAAGGACCAGGAAATTATTAATGAAATAAGCTAAGACAGTGGAACATGGAGATTGCAGTGGGTGATGATAAAAGCGTGAGTAGAAGGCTGGGATGGGAAGGGCATCTGGGGACAGAGAATTAGTAAAATTAGTAAAACAGTATCTACAGCACAAAAGAAAGGAACATGATGGAAATTGCAAGAGTAATTGAATTGGTAACGTAGACACATGGGAGGTGAGAATCAAGGGATTCATGCTTTCTGGGCATTTTGGATACAGGTGTTGCAATCTGAGACCATCTAGATGGTAAGCTTTTATTCTTTTTTGGTATTCACAGGGTCCAGCTAGCATGATGGCGTACTTGATTATTTCGGGGTTTTTCCTTACACGTTTAAGGAGACCAATTGGCAAGATGACTATTATAGAACAAAAATATGAAGGGGAGTATAGATACGTCAACTCACGGCTTATTACAAACAGGTACAGATTTACTTGGATGGCAGGATACAAGTGACAAAGTAATACTGTAGTGTAAATGGAAGCTGTATGTTAAAATATATGTGGAAAGTCTGATGCTATCAGTTCTGAGCAAGGTGTTTGCATCTTTATGCAGATTATTATTAAATAATTCGTATGTGCGTTATATTCCTAATTCAAAAGACAAACTGTAGCTGGGGTATAATAAGCTTATGTTCTACTGTTGTGAAAAAGTACAAACTCTTATTTCATAAGGTAACTGAAAGAACTATATTCCTGTGTTTTATGGCTGACTTTTTCAAAGACTGTCTTTAACAAAATGAAGTTGCTTTCTTTGTGAGTTGTTTGTTGGTTTTTTTTTTTTTTTTTTTTTTTTTTTTTTTTTTTTTTTTTTTTTTTTTTTTTTTTTTTTTTTTTTTTTTTTTTTTTTTTTTTTTTTTTTTTTTTTTTTTTTTTTTTTTTTTTTTTTTTTTTTTTTTTTTTTTTTTTTTTTTTTTTTTTTTTTTTTTTTTTTTTTTTTTTTTTTTTTTTTTTTTTTTTTTTTTTTTTTTTTTTTTTTTTTTTTTTTTTTTTTTTTTTTTTTTTTTTTTTTTTTTTTTTTTTTTTTTTTTTTTTTTTTTTTTTTTTTTTTTTTTTTTTTTTTTTTTTTTTTTTTTTTTTTTTTTTTTTTTTTTTTTTTTTTTTTTTTTTTTTTTTTTTTTTTTTTTTTTTTTTTTTTTTTTTTTTTTTTTTTTTTTTTTTTTTTTTTTTTTTTTTTTTTTTTTTTTTTTTTTTTTTTTTTTTTTTTTTTTTTTTTTTTTTTTTTTTTTTTTTTTTTTTTTTTTTTTTTTTTTTTTTTTTTTTTTTTTTTTTTTTTTTTTTTTTTTTTTTTTTTTTTTTTTTTTTTTTTTTTTTTTTTTTTTTTTTTTTTTTTTTTTTTTTTTTTTTTTTTTTTTTTTTTTTTTTTTTTTTTTTTTTTTTTTTTTTTTTTTTTTTTTTTTTTTTTTTTTTTTTTTTTTTTTTTTTTTTTTTTTTTTTTTTTTTTTTTTTTTTTTTTTTTTTTTTTTTTTTTTTTTTTTTTTTTTTTTTTTTTTTTTTTTTTTTTTTTTTTTTTTTTTTTTTTTTTTTTTTTTTTTTTTTTTTTTTTTTTTTTTTTTTTTTTTTTTTTTTTTTTTTTTTTTTTTTTTTTTTTTTTTTTTTTTTTTTTTTTTTTTTTTTTTTTTTTTTTTTTTTTTTTTTTTTTTTTTTTTTTTTTTTTTTTTTTTTTTTTTTTTTTTTTTTTTTTTTTTTTTTTTTTTTTTTTTTTTTTTTTTTTTTTTTTTTTTTTTTTTTTTTTTTTTTTTTTTTTTTTTTTTTTTTTTTTTTTGAGTGAAGAAATTGCTTTTTATAATGGAAACTTGAGAGAAAAACAGACTATTCACAAAACCTTCCGTAAACTGGTAAGGCTTCTTTTATCTTTTAAAACATTTTAAGCAAAACTTCAATTAATTTTATCATGGTGATTCTTGACATATATTAATGTAAACTGAATTATAGTGGCTTGGTGTTTATGCTGCTACAGTCATGAGACTTAAAAATAAGGTAGTAGGCTATAAGCAGAACACAAGTTTCTGATAGAATGGTCTTCCTCTTGCCACTTCCCTCCTTTTCACCCACCACAATTACTGTTCTCTCACCGCTTAGTTTCGCGTGTAGGTTGTTTTGATCTAGAGTGCAAGTCTTTGCCAGCAGGGACACTTGTGCAGTGCTTCTCACAGTTAGGTGACGGATGTTGTTGAGGTATTTGTGACTTACTGAAAAATAGCTGTATTTGGAATCAAATTCTGTAAAATAATAAAAGATAGTAAAACAGGTATTGATATAGTTTGACCTTTTTTCTTCTGTAACTTACCAGGTGGAACACTTGCATAATTTCATCCTGTTCCGGTTCTCTATGGGTTTCATTGATACTATCATTGCCAAATGTAAGTGTTTGCCCAGTGCTAATGGACTGCTATAAATAAGTGTTAAACTTTTTACATGAGAAGTCTCTTTTTTCTTGTTGCTTCAATTAATGTGTAGCTTAATATTTACTCTTAAACTGCAGACCTTGCCACTGTGGTTGGTTACCTGGTTGTTAGTCGTCCATTTTTGAACCTGGCTGATCCTCGTCATCAGAATAGTACTCATGCAGAACTTTTGGAGGTAAATAGAACAGAATTAAAACAATTTCCTGAATTTAAGTTTTATTAGTCCACACAAAGAAACTTTCTTCTACTCTAGGATTACTACCAAAGCGGAAGAATGTTACTGAGAATGTCTCAAGCTTTGGGCAGAATAGTGCTAGCAGGCCGTGAAATGACAAGATTGGCTGGGTAAGCTTAATAGTGGTTGTGTAAAATAGCCTTTCTTAAAGTTATGTTGTTGCTGTTACTCATCTGATTTTAAGAAACTGACTGTAGAATTAAAACAAAATGAGCTTATGTACTTTGCTCATTGCAGCACCCTAAAAATCTAGAAATTAAAAGCATTTTATGCTGAAAACATATTTGAAGACGTGCTGATTATGTCCACTAGTAATTTCATATCTGAATAGTAGCAGCATACAGTTTGAATATTTAATTGAAAAGACATTGTCAAATGCTCGTAAATCAATTATGTATTGATTAATTACCAAACTATTTTTTTATTTTTTACATCTTACGAAGAAAAGTTACCACATATTTGGCTATTACAGGAAAAGGTTCTTGTAAATATTGTGAATATTGGACAACCTCAGTGCAACTCTAAAATGTAAACATTCTGTTTCTATGCTGGGTTGAGTAACTTTGTCATTTTGACAGTTTAATAGAGTACTCATTAGAGCTTCTATGGATTTCTAAAAATTCTGGAGATTAATTACTTATAGTTCATTTATTTTTTTTTTAGCTTCACAGCTCGAATTACAGAATTAATGCAGGTTCTGAAGGACTTGAATAGTGGCAAATATCAGCGTACTATGGTGTCACAAGAAAAAGGTAGATGTGACATAATATGAAATATGTGCATCTCTGTGTAGTGCTCCAGTCTCTAATACTTTTTTCTTAATTTAAGATGCAGATAAAAAGCAAGTTTTGCCTTTGATACCTGGATCTGGAGAAATTATCAACACTGATAACCTTATCAAGTATGTTTACAAAATTTCCATAACTTCAGTATTTTTAATGTAGTCTGGCTTTTAAGTCTTTCCTTCTACCACTATTAATAGCGATTTTACTACATATTATTACAACATGCAGTTCCTGTTGTACTATAGTTTATGTACAAATAGTTCCACCTCACTCCCACTCAGCATTTCTATTCTGTAAGTCAATCCTTGTCCTCCCATGTTAGCAGAAGACATAATATGCTGTCTGGACTTAGCCTTTTTGGTAACATTTCCTGCTGTCCTTTGGAATATGACTTCCCAGACCATTTTGTTAACACTTTATCAAATTTCCTCTCAGAAATATGTTGGTTACAGATTTTATTCCATGATGTAATTCAGCTGTAAAAATCAGGGGCAAGTCTGTATTCGGTTTCAAAATACTTGCTTGTATTTCTGTATGCTTGGACAGTTCATTGATGTACTCAAGTAGCAGTCAGTTCCTCAGTTCTTTGCAGTCTGAGGAACATAGTATTGACATAGTAGTACTACTTAAAGGCATAAAGTAAAGCCAGTTAAGAGATTAAATAGCCTCAATCTGGTCAATGTGGGAAGCACACACTGGAGCAGAGGGGAAAGAGGGGAGGGAAGAGGGAAAGGAGAAGGGAGATGATAGAGCATTTTTATTATGGGAGAAAAAAAAAGCAAGGCGGAGGTGAGCAGAGAATTCATTCACTGTGTATCCTAGAACTAATGGGATACAATTCCGCTAGCAGGTTTAAAATGAAGTGCATCCTTAAATATAGGTTTATATGCACAAGATGTTTTGGAGACCAAAGGCTTAGAAGGATTCAGAAAACAAATATATGAAGGAAAAAAAACCAACCCTATAGATGTTTGTTTAACATTAAGGTATCTCTTTTGGTTGAAGAACTTCCTTAGCTGTTAATAGTTGGAAACTGGGACAGTGTACTGAATGAAGTACTGCTGAAGTCTTGCCCTATTCCTTAAATCTCTGAGTAAGCATGTAGTATTAGCTGCTTTTAGGCAACTGGTTTTGGTTTTTTTTGTTTGTTTGTTTGTTCGTTTTTGTTTCGTTTTGTTTTTTAATGTTGCGATACAAATAGGTTTGATCATGTTCCGTTGGTGACACCTAATGGAGATATTTTGATTGAAGACCTTAACTTTGAGGTAAGTTTTTTAATATCATAGAAAACTATATTAATATAAATTTTTTAAAGTGAAGATTGTAATTTCAGAGGTAATCTGATTTATTAAAAAATGTGCAAACAAAAATGGAGAGGTGTTTATATGGTATGCTTAAATTTGAACAAAATCATCATGTTTAAAAAAAAAAAAGGCAGTAAGATATTTTCAAAAAAAATGTTTTTATTGTTACAAGTGTGTTTTCTTCCACCTGCAGTTGGTGCTAAACTAGTTGGGGAAAAAAAGTACTTATTGGTGGAAATTACCCATTGTAATGTCAGAAAGTACTGTGTACAAGCCTATGAGGATACCACCTTGTCTCATTGTTTGTAGAAGCTTTCAACAGTATTTTCTCACTACCCTTTTAAGGTGTTGGCTTTGCACTTCTAGGTTCGATCTGGTGCGAATGTTCTGATTTGTGGGCCAAATGGGTGTGGGAAGAGCTCACTTTTTCGTGTTCTTGGTGAGGTAAGGGAACTCTTCTAAATAAACAGGGGAGAACCCAAAGCACTGTTGTAATTGGACTTTTTTGGTCAAGTTTAAACCTTTTTCTTGTTGCAGTTGTGGCCTTTGTTTGGTGGGCGTTTAACAAAACCTGTAAGAGGAAAGTTGTTCTATGTTCCCCAGGTGAGGCCAAGTACTTTAATTGACAACAGTGTTCTCTTTCTTCCTACTTTGACTATGTTTAGAAATATCTGGCATACTTTTTTGTTTCTAACTGTCTCAGAGACCGTATATGACTCTTGGAACACTCAGAGATCAAGTTATATATCCAGATACTTTGGAAGATCAGAGAAAGAAAGGGATTTCTGACCAGGTAATGATAATTAGTTTATTAACCCTTTGTCTTGCTTAAGATGAGTAATGCTTCAGATTTAAAAATACCGTAATTGCTATTAAAACCACTGGATTTAGTTTGTTTTTAATATTTATCAGGGTTGATAGTACACCAGTATAATAGTATAACCCTTTATAACCTTTTTGAATCATTTCTTTATTAAGTTCACTTAAGCCCTTTTTGTCATTCCTGTTTCAATAAAAGGTGCTGAAGGAGTACTTGGATAATGTCCAGCTGGGTCAAATCTTGGAACGTGAAGGAGGCTGGGATAGTGTTCAGGATTGGATGGATGTACTCAGCGGGGGAGAAAAACAGAGAATGGCAGTATGTCTCAAAAGCATAAATGCTTAACAAATAGTGGACATAAGTTGAAAATGTAATCTGAATTATAAGCGATTTTTTTTTTTTAACGA